CTTGAGGCTCCTTTCCAAAGTTTCGCTGACGTGTAATGGCTCTACACCTCAGAGTATACAGAAATGAAGCAACGCTCCCTCTGGTAAAGCAAATTTTCGGCGAGCTCAACTTGGCTCTGTTCTGTCCTTGTGAGTATTGTTGCGATGTTTACGTGATTATTGTGGCAACGTGCGTGAACACGCTTGGTTGAAATATTGAAAGTGTGAAGAAACAAACAGAAAGCCACAGCCGACAAGGAAATAGCCATCAAATCTTTAGGTGAAGATGAAAAACACTCTGGTGTTGAATGGACGTGCCAGCTGTTCCTTTGGCACTAAGATGCAATGCGTCTTCTCTGTATTACAAGATTAAAATATCGGTGCATCATTTTACATTCTACAACGTTGCTGAGAACGATGTGGTGGGCTGAGACAAAACGAATTTGCAACGTACATAATCAACTTTCTGAAAGGAATCCTGGCTGCCAAAAGTAACTCTTATACGGTGATGATTGGACATACCAAAGCTGCTTCTTTTTTGTGCTAGAAACAGGGTTCAAATTGAACAAAGAATACCAGAAAAAGAGCATCTTACAAACAGAAGGGGTTTCCGAGCTCAATTATATCGAGAGGAGGTTGAAGACTCCCCTAGCTAAGTGTCAGCCCAGTATGTCCATAAAACACAGTCATCACACTCAAACCCCATCCATGCCATGTGAAATATCTGCAACACCAACGACTTTCAGGATTACAAGAGCATGTCCGACCATTTCCAACCCAGCAGGAGAGTCGGGGACTCTTCGGTGACGGACAGGAGGTGTATCCTGATGAGTCACGGAGGTGAGCCCCACCAAATTCTCCCAAGAGGTCAAACCAACCAAAGTGGGAGCTGGTTGACCCAACGCCTGCCTACACTAGCTCCAGGAAAATGAAAAACGGAGAAATATTAACATGTCCAAACGGTGTAAGAGGTCATGCCAGTTGAATACCATCCATTTTACCACACTCTGTCAACTGACTAGCACCGAACATTGCTGATAGGGAAAGTAGAGACTTACAATCATGGAATCCAAATGTGATTTTGTCGTCTGTGTAGCTTACACTGTTTCATTGTTTATTATAATGTAGGAACTCAAGTGTGAGAACTGATGAAAGATAGTGCACAGGAAGAAATGAGCCCATCTATGTGCAATTAAACGATACTAATATTCTTTCAATCACGCCCCAGACAAAAAGATGCAGAGGGACCAAGTTTTAAATATTATTATAATTCAGCAGAGAATCGAACCCACAACCTCCCGATCCAGATTAGAGCCCCGAGACCAAAATTTACCATACCAAGGCTCTGCCCTTGGGGGATATCAAACAAAAGTGGAGGTTTCTCAGACAAATACTAAAAAAAAAGTCTTGTCCTGGCTTTTTAAACAACTTAATTTGTGTTTGGGTTTTTGTTTGATATTTTTGTAAACACAGCGATGTCTTCTTATCAACAATTCTAGTCAAACAATTGATGACCTGGCCCTTTGGGATATTTCACGTAGTACAGCTTAAGTTCCACACAGGCAGATATAGTCCCCCCCCCCCCTTTTTCTCTTGAATAACCTAATAGTGTTGATAGGGCGTTGAACCTTAACCATTGCACATGTTCAAGTACATGTATTGGCCTTCAGACACCAGGTCGATGACTTCTCATAGTACTGGTCACCTAATGTAAAATACTAGGCGAGAGAGCAGCTAGGATGTTAAATTAAATTCATTAAAATTTCCACCATGAATCGACAGATAACACAGTTTGAACCCACACCTCCCAGTAACCAGGGTTAATTAATTTACAGACAAAGGGCCAGTCAAAGCACTAAACTTGTCATTCTAATCTAAAACATTTTGTGTATGAATCGACAAGGTTAAGATTCAAACCCAGTTTGAACCAGACAGCTCTCATTAAGATAGATCTATTAGTTAAAATACTATAACTCGCCGTCGTCCATGTTCATCTAGGTCTTTACTTATTATGACGGCGAACAGTGGCACACAGCTGTGACGAACCGGCTACATGCCGCCTCGTGTCACGGCTGTGCGGGGAAGCGTCCTGCGCGAACCGGCCACATGCAGAGAACCGGCCACCTGCATTGTGCTGCATATTTTTTGTGATTCCATAACCGGCTACATGCGAAATAAAACTATCGGATGTGGTATTTAAGAAAAATCAAGTAGTATTTGGTCCCAACACTTATAACTTAAACCTTTTGTATAAAAATATGAAAGATTGTGCTGCGCGTTTTAACAATAATAGTTTTTTTGTCCCTCCTGTAAAATTTGCCTTTCTGCAGGTAGCCGGTTTGTGAATCCCATCGACGATATGAGTTTGTGATAAGTGTGGAAGAGTAAAATGAAACATTTATGTACCTATGTGTGAGTAAGATGTATGTGAGTCTGTTCGGGTGGTTGTTCTTATAAGTATGTCAATAAACATTAGTTCTGTCTTAGGCCCACTGTACAAAAGGAGTTCGTCTTTGCTTCTTTCCTCTTTTCAAAAGCCTAGTTGTGCTTCAATTTGGGTGTGCTGGTATGGGGTGTAGTGGGTGATGGTATGGGGTACGTGCCATGACAGAAAACCCGACATGTGACGGTATGGGGTACATGTCATGACATGCGTCAAGTCTCGGTTTAGCAATGACCACGAAAATCCTTTTTTTGACAGAATAGGTGCATTTTGTAGCTTTATCTTCACAGAGCATGGAACTTTTTGAATTTTTGAAATCCATCAATAAACAAAAAAGTTACGGATTTTTTAATCAATTAATTTCTGGTACACTTTTATATAATGAAAAAAACCCAAAATATGAGACGT